CCCGATGCGGGGCTCGATCCCAGGACCCTGGGATCATGACCTGAGCCGAAGGCAGACACTTAACCATCTGAGCCACCCAGGTGCCCCGGAAGAGAGAGAATCTTAAGCAGGCTGCACACCCAGTATGGAGCCTGCACAGGGCTCCATCTCATGACCCTGAGATCATGACCTGAGCCGAAAGCAAGGGTCAGACGCTTAACTGACTGAGCCACCTAGGCGCCCATAATAGCTCTGTATCTTCAAGTAAACTTCTTGGTTTTACTTGAGCAAGCTGAGTGAGTTTACTTGAAATAGGGTGATCAGTATATTCATGACAAAATCACTCTAATAAATAAATTCCACTCTAATAAACTAGTTTTTTCCTACCACAGGATTTTGAAACAGGACAGCCAGGGCTAATCATGTACTTGCAGAAATACTCCAGAATCTTTTTCAGGGCTAGTTCGTATAAAAACTTAAGAAAGGCCATTTTACCTATCATCTTTCAGAATGAAAGAATGAGGACACAAGAATTATTTTCTGCCCATCACCACCAGCAGTGGTGGTAACTGTCACACATGTGTTTGCTCATGTTTGAAATCAGTCCAGATACTATCAGATGTCAAAGCGTTGTTTCCTTAATTGGGGCCTTCCAACTGCCTCTCTAGTTATTCCTGTTAGGTCTACATAGGTACAGATCTTCTTACGCAGAGGTCATCCTTAACACATGAACCCCAGAATTTTCAGGGACCCATTTGTACAAACAGATGCTGTCAGGACATACTGTCAGGGCTTCCCCAGGGAAGAAGTTACTTATCTGAACACCACTGTAGGCCCTCACCTCTCTAGGTTAACGCGCTTTTCTCTACCCCAACCTCATTGTAAGAACTCTTCAACCTCTCTTCCTCAGCACTGTTACAGGAGCTTCTCAAAGCTTCCACCAACCTTCTTCCTACATTTACTCACCCAATTCTATCTACTAGACAATAAACCTTATGAAGTCAAGGTCCTAGGACAGCCCTGGTCACTGTATACCTAGCAACCATCACAATGTCTGACACACAACAGGTGCTCAGGAAAAATGTGTAGAAGGAATGAATAAACAGATGAATCAACTAACTTCAGAACTTAGATAAGCTAGGACAGCTCAAAGAAGAGGGCTGACCTGGGGACTTCTAGAAGTATCATTCAAGTATACAGTGAGCTCAATATAAATAGGCTTTTGTAGACTAGCCTCTGAATCAAAACAGTTTTTAAAACATCAACACTGTTTCTTTGGAACACTCACTCCACATTTTAAATGACCAATTATCCTCGCTATTTCCACATTAGACTATGGTAGTCTTAACAGCAGGGAACGAGTCTCCGTCCTTGAATTTAGTGCTCAGCATAGTGACAGAATTGGTGTAGATTTCCTATGTCTTACACTTCCCATCTAGATTTTAAATGAATCTTACTTTAAGGCACAAAGCTTTGTTTATAACAGAACATCACTGCTATTTTTTGATCATATGACATGAGCTAGAGAGTTCGGTCCACATTAATTCCAAAATCCCCAATCACAGAGTTCCCCCGCCGTGAGCTCTTTTAGAAATGCGTGGGAACATTCTGGGCTATCACAGTGACTGAAGAAAGCTAAAGGCATTTAGGATGTGGGACTAAGGATATTAGACATCCCACCAGGTATGGAAGAGTCCCACGCAACAAATAATTCTTCTACCCCAAATGCCAATGCTGCTAAGCCAGAGGAAGCAAAAAACTTAAAAGGAATGGGAAATAACTATTAGGAAAGGCAGAAGAGCACAGATTAAGAGCACAAGCTTTGAGTCGGGCAGATGAAGGTTCAAATTCTCATCCCACTGCACCGTGGAGGGGATCCTTGAGCAAGTTACTCAGTCTCTTTCAGCTTCTGTTTTCTCATCTGTATAAAGAAGTTGAATAATAGCACCCACTCCATATGGTTTTTAAAAGTAAAAAAATTAGATCACATCCAGCAGATTATAGTAATATGAGCACTCCCTTAAATGTTAGCCATTATTAGCTTGTCTTGAAAAGCTCTCTGCTGTTAATTTTCGTGAAAAAAAAAAAAAAAAATCAGACCATGTCCCTCTTGTTCTGAGGACAAAAATGGAATGCCTCCTCAGCCCCGACCCCCACACTGCAATACTTCACCATCTTGGAGTCTGATAGTGCTTACGCAGCACATGATTCTTGGCTCTTTTCGCATGTCTCATTTTTTCACTTGTTCTTCTTATTTTTCATTAATAAACCATCATACTTACCACCCTTTGCCCCGCTATCAGAATAACTGTTGCTGTTTTTAGAACTTTTTGAGTGAGTCCCCAGGAAGACACTTGCAGACTTGTTTTTTTGGGTATAAAAAGTCAACACCTCCTCCAGTTCAGCCTCACTGAAACGAGGAGAGAGAGTATGGTCAGAACAGGAAGCTGTTCTGGAAAATCTTTCCACCAGATTTTATTCTGGAAATGGAGTCAGCTGGAGAAGGGGAAAATGAAAAGTACAAGCTGAAAATTCCCTAATAATAGATGGTTAAATAGGAATACAAACAAAGCCGTCTAAAAAAATTAAAGCATGATAAGGCTTTCTTCATCCCAAAGTGAATATTCGAGATGCACTGTCTAATACGGTAGTCAGGAGGCATATATGATGATTTCAGTTTAAATGAATTAAAATTAAGTACATTTAAAGATTCTTCTCAGACTAGCCACATTTCACGTACTCAGTGGCTACAACACAGAAAGTTCTATTGGATAGCCATGTTCTATATTAGAGGTCAAAAAACTACAAACTTTATGGGGTCAAAACTGACAAGCTGATGAGCAACATATTCTTGTATGGCTCCCTGCTAAAAATGGTTTTTATCTTTTTAGAGAAGAATATGCTATGAAGATCATAGGTATCCTACACAGTCTGAAATATTTATTATCTGGCCCTTCACAGTTTGCCCCCCACTTCCAGATAACTGAAATGTGTTCATTAAAGGAGACCCTTGTCATTTTAATTCCCTATGTCAGAAATAAGGAGACCTACCAGCATAACCATATGAAGAGTTCCCTAACCATCTATACAATGAAGGAGATGGAACGAGATGGTTCTAGGTCATTTCAGATATTAAAATTATATGCACTTTATGAACATCCACAAAATGGAAAGTATAAGGAATCTGATGAGGGCCCACAGGATTCTTCTAGTAAACATATTATGCATGGATTTTTCAACACCTGTGGGAGGTTCTCAATGGCCTTCTGCATTTTTTTTTCCTGGAGCCAGGCTGTATTCCAGATGAGTGGCCTTTAAATAGGCAAAGTATTCCTGTGTTATCACAAAAAACCTATACCCCATCTTCAGAATACACTGTGATGACAACCTAGGAAACCGCTTTTATGAATCTCAGGGTAAACCCCACAGTCTCCAGAGTAGCCAAATGCCACAAAGTACCTCAAGTAACTATTAAAGATCCACGTGCAGCTGAGATTATAAACGGGTGATTGCCTCTGCCTGTCTGTGTGTTTTATTTGGCCCTTCACAGAAAGGGAAAGGGAAAGGTTAAGGTTGATCAAAATACAAACTGCTTGATGCCTCTTCTCTTAATCTTCGCCCACTTCATAATCTGTGTTTCCTTGCCTGACTCCTGCAGGGATCTGCATTTACCAACCTCGATGGAGGTATCCGGGTACCACCCCAAATGTAATAAACGAGCTGATGCTAGCAGAAATTTCCAACAATCAACACTAGATGTACAACAGTAATAAATATGTTCCAGCATATTTTATCTCCAACTCTGTATCATTTGTCTTAGTACATGGAATTCATTTTTAGCATCCAGTTAGGCCTGGTAAGGGAATACACATCACTTTTCAAAAAATTGGCTTTTCTTTTCTTTTTTTATATTATAAGGATCTTGAAGATCCCTAGGAAGAACAGAATATTAATCTTTTAACTTTTAAAGTAGAGTAATTTTCTGAACATACTCTAGTTTTTCTTTCCGATTTTTATAATGTTGATATGAGAAACCATTTCTTTTTTTTTTTCTTTTTCTTTTTTCTTTTTTCTTTTTTTAAATATTTTATTTATTTATTTGAGAGAGAATGAGAGACAGAGAGCACGAGAGGGAAGAGGGCAGAGGGAGAAGCAGACCCCCCGCTGAGCAGGGAGCCCGAAGCGGGACTCGATCCCGGGACTCCAGGATCATGACCTGAGCTGAAGGCAGTCGCTTAACCAACTGAGCCACCCAGGCGCCCATGAGAAACCATTTCTTGTTTTGCTTCTATGCCTGAATTATCAATCATAGAACTCAAGACCCAAGAATGTTAACAAAGTAACATTACACGATTATAAACTCCTACAAAATGATGTCTTTGTTTGCTGTGAGTTTTTAAGCGCATGATAGTGAGGCTATCCTTAGGTCTGTACAAGGTCTTAAACACAGATCATATTATCTTATATGATAATATAAGACTATATAACTCACCACCTGATTTAACTTCATAAACCAAGAGAGAATCGATTTTCTCCTGCTCTTCTCCCCACAGTGACTTTGATGGTTGAAGACTAATTAATGGGGTGACACAGATGTTTTATCCTTTATTTGACTAGTTTTGTATGACTCTCTGTTTTAGAAAAAGGCCCTCCAGTGTGAGTCTTACAAAATTTTAAATGAAATGCCTTTGTTACCTCTTCCTTTGGAAACATATTGTCAATGGACAAAATGGCATGACTGATTTATATCAAGATAGAGCTGAATGCTGAGATTTTCAATCCTTAAAGGTTAACTCTACACATGAAGAACCTGTTCTATTTTATATAAATTAGGCGTAACCCTCACAGTGCTGAGAAACTGCCAATTCCTCAGCCCACTCAATGTAGGCAAAATTTGGTCATCACCACTGCATCAATAGGTCAGGGATAAATTCAGATCCAGTAAACACTGGAAGCCTCTAACTTCAACTTTCCAAAGGGCTCTCTCAGCACTTCAAGTGGTGTGTACTTTGAAGGCTGTCTAGAAATACAGCCCAGATACCCAGCAGCAGTGTTTTGATAACTGAAACCATGACAACAACAACATAATTGGCTGAAATATGGAGAGGCCAAGCCTATGAAACTCTTTTTCTCATTCTGAGAGTGATTTCACTCACATCCATATGTTAGAAACAAGGAAATATTAAGAATTGAATGGGCAGTCTGGCAGATAAAGATAGTTTTTATTAATCAAGAATATCTTCTACCTTGCTTGTCTGATGAACTCCTGAAAGTTTTCTGTATTCACCCCATCTTCCTCTTCTTCTTCAAGTTTCTTCTTCGATTTCTTTTCAGCCATCTGTTCTGTTTCCTACCCAGTCCCCAACCCACACAGGAAAACAATAAGATAAAACTGACTCCTGATAAATGCATACTTCATCATCTGGTTTCATTACCATTGGGTTAATTTGTCTTTATAGTAAAGACACTTACTTCCTCCATGTACTTTTGCCACCTATAAATTTGATATATTATTCTCTGCCATTATTTCATAAAATATTTTGGAATTTCCAAATAAAAGTTGCAGAATAAATGTAAATTTTTATCATGTTTTTACTTTCTGCCCACATAACCCATTCAAAAAGAACTTTATAGTTCTTTTTAGCTTAGTAACATCTGTGCTCACCCTTGCAGCTTTAACAGTATGACAACAGAGATACTGTATTTTGTTACAATTAGGGAGACGAAAGATAGGTCTTGGAAGGTACTCCTCTACCAGCATCCAAACTGAGTAAATTCTTCACTTATATAAGACATACCAAAATTCTCAACAGATCTGGAGTAAATCACAGCTATCGATTTGGTATATTAATATTCTACTATTTATTCCACACATCTTTACAAATGCCATTTAAATTTCCTCAGTTTTCCCTTCTGCAAAATAACTATACTTTTTTTCTCCCAAATACCCTTTGGATATCAGATGCTTTGAAAAATATTCTAACCAAGTAGTACATTTCCTGGTCTTGTCTGTAAAATGATGTCACCATCTAAGATGTTCTCAAATACAAAGTATAACTCTCTCAGGAAAGAAAATTATGTCATTCTATTAAATCCACAGTTAATTTGCTCTCAAATAGTCAATTCACCACTGTTTAAAGGCATAATAATGACAATGCAAATTCACATAGTCCAGGATTCATCTCAGATACAATAGCACTCAGAGGGAATATGCTTTTTGATAAGCATTAACTATGGCCACTGGGCTTTCAGAAGTAATAAGCAGCTTTTCAGACAAGCTAGGTTAAGGAGTGAAGTCCAGCTCCCTGTAACAGTTACACACAAGGGTTGACAACACTAGAAAAGAGAAGGACCTCTCCACCCAGCTGGACACAGGCTTCTAGCTTGCTGCTCATAGTGTATGACAATCTAAAACACAAGAGTAAGAGATAAACCACCTACCTTGTTGTATACAATAATAAAATCACCCAGTTGGTGGGCCAAGATTCTTCTGCGTTCCAGAAGTGCCAATCGTCGACTGGGTAATACCATCCTCAGTGAGTGCTGGAGGTTACTGGACGCTCGTTTAAGGAAGCGAACCACTAGCTCCTATTAAGAGTCATCGGCGGTGGGGGAGGGCGGGGGGAGAGCAGGGATTATGCTAAGCAACAGAAGACAGGCTATGAAGGGTTTACCCAACAGAGATATGAGAACAGGTACACTATACATTTCAACAAATAAGACCCAGAGCAAAAACATTAGGCATAAGAAGGATACAGAGAGACAAAACAAAAGAAACGTACTCTTCCCTCAATAAGCTGGCAATCAGAAAATCAATAAATATGTATGCAAAAAATTATATATTAAAGAAGGAACTGTAAAAGTACCACAACTCACATGCAAATGGTAGTATAATAAATCAAAGTGCAGATATCACTTCTAATAGGGTGATCAGAGAAAGCTACTTAGGGAAAGTAGCTTTCAAGGACAGACAGTGGAAATTAAAACCATGGGAGCAGATGAAATCATCAAAGGTGAGAAGGAAGAGAAAGAATACAGAAATATTCATATTCATTTAGAGATAGGAAAGAGGAGGAAGAATCAGAAAACAAAACAAAACAAAACAAAAATCCATGGCAGAAACACCAGAAATTTACCAAAAAAAAACCCGAGGAGAAAAGAGTGTCATGGAAGCCAAGGGAATTAAAGGCCCCATGTCAAAATCTTCCAAGAGACCAGAGCTGAAAAGGACCAGGACCAAGACCAAAACAAGGCCCTGGATCTGGCCATTGTGAGATAACTTCAAGAGAACACTTTCAGTAGAGAAGGGAATAGAAGGAAGAGACTAAGAAGAGCATGGGTAATAAAGAATAGAAACCGCTCATTTAAAAAGTTTAGTGTTGAAGAAAAAGAAAGAACCAATACTCTGTATGTGAGAGGTGGTGGCGTCTTTTTTCCTTCCCCATGGGGAAGGGAGTTGGTGGGGAGGCGGGGAGGCGGGGGGGCACAGAGAAAAGTCATTAAGCGGTACAAAGAGTACATCTCACTTGGCATGGGGCAAAGGATTCTGAAATCTGAACAGATACCAATCAGATCACTCACAGTATGACAAATGCTTCCAAGAGAGATTTTGTGAGACTAAGGGCCTTAAAGAGAATTGTTCCTTCCCTCCCCACACCCCCACAACATGATAAAATTGCCTTAAGATGATAGATTTGAGGATCTTCTATTGATGTGCCTCCTGTGAGTTATATGATAAAGAATCTCTAACCCTAACTTGGGGCAGAGAAGACAATTCTACCCCTACCTTCCTCAACAAGACCGCCGCCGCAATCATCAGGGAATGGGTTAGGGTTTGCTCTCTAGCTAGATTTTCAAACAGGAATGCACAGAACTGGTATTAAGTTTTGCGGTGATGATCCTAAGTATTCTCGTAAACAAACCCCCCCCCCTCCGAAATCCTGTGTGAGTTCCAAGCGCTTGCAGGGATTACTCTATTCTGAGCTCTTTTTTATTCCTGAATTTGATTTTGGCTCATTGTCCTTTGGTGCCAATTTGCTCCAGCATGAAGGAATAGCCTCATAACCAGAGGTTGGATTTCACGATTCTACTCTGCTGTCTTTACTATAGGGTGGCTTAAGCTGTTATGTTAAAACATTATTTTTTCACAGTGGAGCAGACAAACTGACTCTCAAAAAGGCAGTTTCAATTTTCCACTTGGAAAGAGCAGAGCTAACATTTTCCACTGATGGTTGAAGGATTATTCACAACACACAAGGTTTTATCTCTGGTTGTATTGGCTACTTTAAATTCACAAGTTGTTTTCTGGAATTTCCATCATGTTTTTTATAATAAGCCTGGCATATCGTATGCCTCTCGTATGTGGAGAACTGAAAATTATGGTAGGGTCACCACTGAGTTGGACAAAGGATGCAGCTTTCTCAGACTTAGAGGTCCCTCTCTTGTGGGTGACAGATCCCTGTGGTCAAAAGGCTACAGAAGGACTGTGGCTTCTTCTATAAGCGTTGACCTTACCAAAGAGCATGAAGTTCCCTGTCATTCCAATTCAAAAAGAATAACCGTGCTAGAATGCTAAATCCTAGGCATGTTCAAATGACTGATACACAGCAAAAATTATTACACAGTTTGTTTCCAGTCATCTAATAAGAACTTTATAAAATTTCAACTAGTAGAGAAATAACATTAAAATGGAGGATGGTACATTCTCCGAGGGCCTATAATAAAGTGCTTTCACAGGGTTAATGCCACCCCCTCAGGACAGAAAACATATGCCTTGTGATGCATGGAAACAAGAGAAGAGCAAATAATGTACAATTGTAACCTGTGAGTTCAATTTTCAGTCTCCCCACACACAAGCTGTGGGACAAGAGGCAAATTACGGCCGTGCTCTAGGTCTTTGTTGCCTCAGCTACAAAATGGGGATTACAGTGCCTACGTCAAAGAGTTAACGCAACGGGAAAATCAAAGAGTGAAAGGGCTATAAATTGTTATTCTTTTTGAGGGCTTTGCACAGTGCCTGACGTCTAATGAGCAATCAATTTCCATTTTCAGGATGAAATAAACTGATGCCCTCAACAGAGTGTAATGAACATGGCCCCAGATCAAAGATTTACTTCACATTAAAGTAAATCTATAATCTATAGTGTGGAACAACTCTTTCACCAGAAGAATATATTGCTCTTTACCCTAGTTGAAAGTAGGAAGAGGAGGAGGAGGAGGAGGAGAAGGAAAGAAACAGGGAAAGTAAAAACGTTCCAACAAGAAGAGTCTCACCATCTGTTCATCCTCTTTGGCAGCCCAACTGGCACTGAACGATTGACCTCCACTGTCCTTCATCAGGCGAATTTGAACATGCTGGAGATAGGCAGAGAATGCTATTCGGGCCTGCACTTTGCTATAGAAATCCGAAACAACATACCGTTACGAGACAGAATGGTAAGCCTACCAAATGTGTACTTGTCTCACTCAAAGTGGACTGTGAGGATCCTCCTATTAGGATGGCTAAGAAAAATGAAGCCCATCATGCAGTCATTGACTAAAGATACCTTCTACAGAGTACATGAGATTTTTTTTTTCTATTAAAGAATCTTATTTATTTTCTCTATTATTAACACGGGAGAAAAAAAATCAAACAAGAATAGGAAATCAGGTTTCCTACTCTTATACCTTATCTCTGAACTTTTTAATAACTTTCTTGGGGGAAATAGACGGGAAAAGTACTGAATCTTCACAATAACATATGCATTAATGTAGAAAGGTTTTTCTGCGTTGGAGTCCCTTATGTACTCATCAGTTGGTGCAAAAGTATTCTTTTGCTATGGCAACTAATATTTCTAGTGTGCAAAGGCCTCCAAAGCAGGAAATAGATAAATCCTACAAAGGAACTTTTGAGACCAAATTTTAAGGTCATGCTTTTCTCAACTACAAGACGGGAATGGCTGAAGCCCAGAACAAATGAGTGAGGTCCAACAGAGTTTGGCATAGATGAACTGACAGGCTAGGACGGGCCCAGATGTTCAGTGGGAAAAAGAAATCTTTACATATAGTAAAAAGTACCTCAGCGGCATCACCGAAAAACCCAGCAGATTTCTGCTTGGTGGTCTAGGCTGGAAATAAGGAAATCTATTCAAGCTATGGTTTAGAAGATAGAAATACCAGAGACACACTGATGATTTTCGCTTCAGCTGTTATTTGTAGCAGATCTGTTTTCCTTCAGGAGAGATTTTGGTTACTTCAGCTGATCGGCCTTCTGACACTCTAGCCAAAATTACATCAGCGAAGATTAGGGCCCAACACAAACTTTGTTTACAATCCTCACACATGCAATCACTGAATGCTTTCTACTCACTGTTCCTCCAAAATTAGGATGAACGACTTGTCCAGAGTAAAGTGGACATCCTAAGAAGATCTAAGTCTAACTTCTATATATGTGCTAGAAGGACTGAAGGGGAGGGGAGTCAGGTTGAGAAGTAGATTTGCTCTTGAGAGTTTAATACAGATCTTCAGAGCATAAAATATAAGTCAGGCTACATCTTTTTTACTAATGGGGACAGTTTATGGGAGTACAATATGATTTTGAAAAAACAAATTTAGGGGCGCCTGGGTGGCTCAGTCATTAAGCATCTGCCTTCGGCTCAGGTCATGATCCCAGGGTCTTGGGATCAAGCCCCGCATCGGGCTCCCTGCTCAGCGGGAAGCCTGCTTCTCCCTCCCCCACTCCCCCTGCTTGTCTTCCCTCTCTCGCTGTGTCTCTCTCTGTCAAATAATAAAATCCTAAAAAAAAAAGAAAAAAAGAAAAAACAAATTTATATTTTCAAATGTTTCTCAACAAGGGCAACACTTACACCCTTGTTCTCCTGGAGACCACATGCCACTTTCCCCTCAACCATTCCCAAAAGCCTTACCCCCACAACAGGATTATTTTCAAGACAAAATAAGTGAAAAAGATTCTTAATTTTGGTCCACAAATTCACCTGCTATCGAATGAGGTAGAAACATTCAATATTTCATTTCAGACATCTCCAAAGTAGAATACCTGATTTTATTAATTATTCCTCTAATGCTAAAACATGAAGGTCTTTTGGATAAGAGAATTATCACTTGGAGGCTGAGATGTCAATTATTGTTTCATTGCAAATCATTGCCACAAATCAAATGAACAAGTACTGAGCTTTCCATTTCTATAAACCTCATTGAAAGAACCCGGGGTTGTTCATTCTGAGACTGGCCCTAAGGTACTGTTCACCTTGGTCAGCTAGTCATTTGCAACAAACCCAAAAAGATGAAAGAATGAAAACTAGAATGATTTAAACTAAAAACCCCTTATTTTTTTTAAAAAATTAAGCTTATATGGATCCTCATTATAAAAATTATACAACTAAATGCTAGGGCCGAGAGTCTCGAATCCTTGCCACGACCTCCCTGAGACCCCTCAGTAGCCACGGAGATGCCCCACAGAATGATGGGTAGCTCCAGGGAACAGAGTCTAAAAACCACTAATTTGCATTAACACACCAGGCAACTACAAGTTTACTCACTGAAAGTCAGATCCATGAGATTTATGAAGAAATAATTTATTTCTACAACAGCTAAGTAGAATGTTATTGCTGGAAAGGGCCTTAGAATATAGTCCAGTGGTTTTCAAATGTTCTATTTCAATTCAGTGGAATCTTTTTTCCCCTCCAGAAAGCACAGTTTGAAAAACATTTGTCTAACCCCATACCTTGGCCTAAAGGAAAAGGAAACTGAGACGTGGAGAAGCTCTCTCTGACCAGCCCATGATCACACAGTCCATTGGTGAACCCTAAAAAGCAAGAGTCCAGGTCTTCGGACAGTTTGGTGTGCTCTCCACTCAACAGAACTACTGCTATTCTCCATGACGCTGTTCCAAACCTTAACTTGATCTCCCCACTCCCCCAAACCCCCGATGTTACCCACCCACCCTTGCAATATAAGAACAGACCTCTAATGTAGAAAATAAAGGCCAAAATGCATAAATACCTAGCCTTTCTTCCCCTTTCACTTCTAACTACTGCATTCATCCCATAGTGCTTTCTTTCTGACTTATAGTAAGAGATACCCCTCCAGTGGCCTCTTTCCACCTTCCTTTAGGGCCCTTCCTATCAATATATATCCATTTCTGCATCTCTAATCCTCTTTCCTTTTTTTTTTTTTTTTTAACGATTTTATTTATTTAGAGAGAGAGAGCATGAGCAGGGGGAGGGTGGAGGGAAAGAGAGAATCTCAAGTAGACTGTGCTGAGTGGGGAGCTGATGCAGGGCTCAATCTCACAACCCTGAGATCATGACCTGAGCCAAAATCAAGAGTCAGATGCTTAACCGACTGAGCCACCCAGGTGCCCCTAATCCTCTTTCCATCAAACCCTTCCCCTAGTCTATAAATAAGCTCCAGAATCCTCATCTTTAAAAAAAAAAAAAAAAATCCTTTTCTCTTAGCTTGCTCTCACTATGTGTTCTCACCTCCCTTTCATTGCCAAATCCTCTGAAAAAGTTGGCTTGCACTTGGCTTTCTTATTTCCACAACTCACAATTTCTCACAACTCACAAGTTGGCCCTAGGTCAGAAATGCAGGAGTCTCTTGTTACTCTTCATGCTCTCTCAGGCTGTCTGAGGCACACTACGGCTTGGAACTCTCATTCTGGAGCTTCTACCACACTCCCTCCTCCTAGGCTGATGCCTACCTCTCTAACTGCTAGTTCCTATCTCTTTACTATTAAACACTGGTTTTCCCCAGGGCTCAATTCTCCTCCTTTCTCCTGCCTGTGCTTGCTGGACTAAAGTGAACTGGACAAGCTCACCCACTCTGAAGTTCCTAATTATCAACTGCCCAATTCTGTTCAACTCTGACCTTCAAAGGTGTATCTTCACCTATCCACTGAACAACTTCATTCCAGAGCCCTTCTACCTGTGTCCCAAATGAAACATATTTCCTTCCTGAAACCAACTCCTATGCTCCTTATATTGACTGACGGCATTGCCAAGTTGCTAAGTTTGGGAAATCCAGCCTCTCTGGAGTTCTTACATCTACAGAGACCAAGCCCTCCCCATTTTAACTTGCAAATTTCATTCAGTCCATCCCATTCTCTCCATTCCGGTAGCCATGGCTCTGGTCAAGGCCTCATCTTCCTGGCTCTGGACTATTGTGACAGCCCCTAACTCACCTTTCTGCCTTTCATTCTCCTCTTAATCACTGGCCCACAGTGCAACCAGAATTTACCTTCTAAATCAAGATCTGACCATATCATTCATCGGCTTAAAAATTATCCATCTAGAAAATACAGTCCCAGCTCCTTTTAGAGTGCTTTATGATCAAATGACATCCATTTTTTTTTTCCCTGTCTTATCTCTCACTGCATTCCTCTCTCCATGTAACTACCCAGCCTAGCACAATTCCTGTACAAAGCAGGTGCTCAATAAGCATCTGCTGAGGGGCTGAATGACTTGACTGGACCCTCACACCTTCTGCCTTTATTTCCTCTACTGGTACTCCCACACAGCTGCCACCTCTCAGCCCTCCTGACATCCTGCTCATCAGCCAAAGCCTGGTTCAAATATTACCACCTCCCTAATGTCCCTCTAGCCTTTCCAGGCAAGACCAGTCACTCCTTTCTCTCTGCCCTAAGGGCACTTTGTCCATATTGGGGCCCCTACTCAGTAAGTATCCCTACACTAAACCATGAGCCACTTGAACTCTGCGCTTTCAGTGACTGACACTCAAACCAGTGAGACATGGGTTTGGATCATAGCTCTATACCTTGGACAAGCAACTTCTCTAAGGCTCAGTTTCCTTAATAGTAACAATAATAAAATCACAGTCATTACCTGCCAGGGCTGCTGTAAGAAAAGGAAATGGCTGCAAAGCCCCCAGCACAGTACCTGGTACACAATATTAGTTACCAGTTTTACTATCATAATTACCAAAGGTACATACCTAAGATTGCCGTTATCTTGCAGAATCTGCATCAGGTTAAATTTAGGCTCTGGCTCCTGAGTCTCAATTTTGCAGCACTGTTCACTTTTATTATTCCATCCAGAAACTTTCATGGCATTTTCTTTGGGTGAATTTTCTACCATAACAGTCAATGAGGGGGTGTATTTGGCTTGATTTTCTCCAAGGGACCCTGCAGATTCCTCCTGGGAAGCCTCCTGTTCTTCATCTTCATTGTCTAATGCGACTTCTTCCTCTTCTTCGCTCTCTGTCTCAGTTTTAACATTCATTTCAGCTGGCTGAGTGATCACTAAATGCGAAGAATCACTAATGTTGCTGAAAAAAGGATTAAATTTTCCTCTCTCCCAATACCTTCCTTTCATCTTTTTAGTAAAAACCCATCTCTAAGTCAGACCACAAAAAAGGCACAAAATGAACAGCATACACATTACTCTCCAGTCTCATGCATTCTAAAAACCCATCTTCATTAGAGTTCATGTTTTTCAGCATAATACCGATGGCTCTCTCACAACTTCAGGCAAACATCTGGGTAATCTCTACAGTGTGTTAGAGGTTTTTAGAAGGGCACCTTTTACGGAGGTACAAAGAGCAGGGGAGTATCTTTCTATCCTACATTTATTCATTATCTTTCTCTTTCACTGACTTGGAAGGTATGTGAGGACAAAGGCCTTATCTTTTTTATTCACCGATGAAAACCCTAGTGACTAACGTGCCTGATACAGGTGCTCAACAAAGGAGGGAAGGAGGGGCGGAAAAGGCAGTCAGTCATCAGTGACAAACAGACCTAAAAATGGAAGAATCCGGGAGAGAAAGAAATTCCTCCTTGTCTGCTCATGGTTAAAATATTTCTACCATTCAGCAATGTCAAGGGATGAACGAGATTTAACACCTAATCATGAAGAAGCTGAACAGTCACGCTCAGGATTCCATTATACTTAAGCTAAAGTATTTCTTTATATTTATGTATCTTTATACCTCAAGTATTTCTAGAGTATCAGCTAGTTATATGATGCTGAAAAGCGAGCAAAAGCCAAACATATATGCTTCAGTTATTCTTCAGTACAAATATTACAGAATGGGAGGTTTAAAAACATATAATCCTTTTGAAATTAAGTTTCCGAGAAAAAGACTATACAAAAAAATTAAGTGTATGTGATCGGGAAGGTTCTGATTCATTAAGTATAATTAAGAAGCCGATTAACTCAGACTGGCAAGACCCGGACAATGGAGTTTGGCGTAAGCTCACCAGCAGGTACCTGGGTATTTTGGCCTCATTGCCCTCAATCTGCTGCTGCGTCTTCGACGTTTCCGCACCTCCAAAGACAGGAGCTTCCTCTCATAGAGAGCAGCATGCAGCTTGGCCTTTGAATTCATACTCTCTACTTTTAGTTCTGGTGCTCCATCAGCAGCTAGTCTATGGGGAAAAAATATGGTAGCTACAGCCTTCAGAAAGTTCTCTCCTTTATGCCAAGGCTCGGCTTGACAGAATTCTGTAACCAACAACAGGCTGGACAGGGTACCTCTAGTGAATTCTAAAAGGTTCGACAGATAAATGGGAATACTGGAACCTGCGTTAAAACTTCACTAATGGCCTGTCTGCATTTGTTAAAACAAAAATATATCTGAAGACAGTGTTTAAGTGTTTTTAAGTGTTCAGTCATACTGGCTGACTGTTTATTGCGGAACCCATAAAGTGCCACCCAATACCTTATACCTAAGAAGGACTGGGAACACTGGTAACACTTTAATTCTTAAGCTAGGTGGTGGCTACAGGTGTTTGTTTTATTGTTATTCATTATAATTTACTCAGACTTATACAAATATTCTTCTAATGTATACAATATTTAACAAATACAGATTTAGCAGAGGTTGAGACAAGGGGAGGGATGGCTGATACCTGTGAATATGGTAGCACAGAGCTAAGACTTATGTGAGAAGTGTCTTAGGAATGTTACCAGGGCCCAGAGTCTCAAGCATTCCAACTTCTCCCTTAGAGTCTACTTAGTTACAGGGGGATATGGGGGGAGGTGGTAGGGCCTCTCCAAATGTTGAGTAGAGTCAGAGGCACAGACAAGGGAAGGCAGCAGATGTTGGACAAAGCCAAGTTCAATCAGGCTGTGAATGGGAAGTGGGATGGGAAGAGGATGGCAGCAGCTACATTAGGCATTAGTTAAAGTAAGATAAATCATAAGTTAGGGAAGTGACTGGTATCAGGCCCAATCCAAACAAGGATCGGGCAAAGTACCATGCAGGCAGAGGTAACTAGGTCAGCAAAGAGAGAGAGGGCTCTTGGTCACTGGGTCAGAAAAGAAGTATCCATGTCAGTATCTGAAAGCAGGCAGCTGACTGCCCGTATACTCAGAACTCAAGATCTAACTGGTTGACTATGAATTCTCTCAGAGAACTGAACTCCCTAGAACTCAAAGTGTATTCCCTTTGAGGTCAAGGAATCATCCTCATTTCTCTGGGAGTTTTCAATCTCTGACAATGATGGAAAGGCTGTGTCTTTTGGTCTACGTAGGAGTTTTAGGGATTTCTGAGTGGATAAACTGGACAGTAAATCTTCTAGAAACTTTCTTTCCAGAGCAGGAAATCAGGCCAAGAATAGGGATGGTCCTGACACATGGGGGCAGAAACCAGAAGTAAATTAATAAACTTTAAAAATACTTCAAACCCAGCTTACCATTGCCCCAACAAATGAACACTGCACTCCCCCCCCACGCACATAGTTATGAAAATAGATTTTTAGCCAATTAAATAATAAAGAAAATGAAACAAATCTAATATTTTAAAATAACAATTGTGAGCTTCTAAGAAACCCTGAATAGAGCAATAAATTCAAGTAGTACAAAGAATGGAGGTAGGGAATGATGGAGAAAGTGTGATAAACACTTCTGATAAACAGAATTCTAACGACCATGCTTGTCTTGTCGATCACTGGGTCAGAGATGCCCATGAGACCGCCCAGCATACGGCTGACATATCATAAATATTTTTGAATAAACAACTGAATTCCTTATAAATAAGTTGCAATACCTTTTAGCTACATTTACCTCATTTTATTTCTCCAACTTTTTATTATGAAAATATTTACACAAACAGAAAAGTTTTAAGAATTGTACAACAGACATCCATGTACCCACAGCCTAGTTTCTGCAATGAATATATTGCTGTATTTCTTTCAGCACATATAACCCACCATCCCTTCTTCTATTCATCCATCAATCCATCTAATTTTTAAAGCATTTCAAAGTTATACACAGAGGTCAGTGCACTTTACTCCTAAATGCTTTAACATGCAAATCATTAAGTTGCTCAAGTTCAGTATTTGTTTTATAGGGCTTTTGGTGTTTTGGTTGTTTTTGTTTTGTTTTTTGGTGAGCTAAACAATACATATACTGAAATACCCAAATATTAAATGCCCATTGATGAGTTTTGACAAATGCCTAAAACTACATAACCTGAACTCTAATGTTACTACCTCCTCAGAAAGTTCTCATGCCCCTTCCCAGTCAATCCTTCCCTCACCCTCCTAAAGGAGACCACTGTCTTAAATTTTTTCATCACATATTAGGTTTGTCTGTTCTAGAACTTTATAAAAATGGAATTATTCAGTATGAACTCTTGTGTGTAAATCTCCTTTCATTCTGTATGTTTTTGAGATTCATCCATGTTATGTGTATCCATATTTATGCCTTTTTATTGCTGAGGATTAGTCCACTCTATGAATAATCCAAAGTTTGCCTACTTTCTGGTTGTTGGACCCCCTAGGTTGTTTCCAGTTTGGGAATATTATGAATAAAGCTGCTATGAACATTTTTGCACAAGTTGTTTTGTGGTTATGTTTTTCATTCCTTCTGGGTAAAGATCTCAGCATGGAGCTTTCTAGGCTAACAAACTGGCAGACTCCTTCTCAAGTGCCTGTACAAGGTCATGCTGCCAATGACAACTTATCAGAGTTCCATTAGCTCCACATCTTCACCATTTGATGTTGTCGGTCACTTCGGCTTTTTCCCCAGCTTTACTGAGCTATAACTGACAAATAAAATTTAAGGCATTTAAAGTATACAACATGATGATATCATTTTGGCCATTCTGCTGGATGTTTAGTGGTATTTCATGATTTTAATTTGCAAATCTCTGGTAACTAATGTTGTTAAGCCCATGTTCACGAGCGTATTGGCAACTCACACACCTTCTTTTGGTAGTTAGTGTCTGTTCAAATATTTCACCCGTTTGTAAAAGGGTTGATCTATTGTCTTCTAATTCTTCAGTTGTAGGAGCTCATTATATTTCCTAGATATTGGTCCTTTGTTTGATAAGTATCTTCACTCGGTCTATGGCTTGCCTAGTCACTTTCCTAACAGTATGTGAGGATAAGCAAAAGTTTTTAATTTTGAGGAAATCTAGCTTATCATTTTTTCCTTTTTGGGTATTGCTTTCTGTGTCATGTCTAAAAACTTTTGCCAATCCCCAACTCACAAAGATATTTTCCTAGATTTTCCCCAAGAAGTTTTATAGTAATAGCTTTTATGTTTATGACTATGAATCATCTCTAATTTTTCTGGGAGATAGGGGCTGAGGTTCATTTTTAAAAGCATGATATCGGGATGCCTGTGTGGCTCAGTCGCTAAGCGTCTGTCTTCAGTTCAGGTCATGATCCCAGGGTCCTGTGATCGAGCCCCACGTCAGGCTCCCTGCTCTGTGGGAAGCCTGCTTCTCCCTCTCCCACTCCCCCTGCTTGTGTTTCCTCTCTTGCTGTCTCTCTCACTCTGTCAAATAAATAAATAAAATCTTTGAAAAAAAAAATCTAAAGCATGATATCCAGTTCCAGCCCTATTTGTTAAAAAGAGTTTCCTTTTGGGGCACCTTGGTGGCTCCGTCAGTTGAGCCTCCGACTCTTGATTTTGGCTCAGGCCATGATCTCAGGGTCGTGAGATTGAGCCCTGTGTTGGGCTCCACGCCCCACGCTGGGCGTGGAGGCTTCTTAAGATTCTCTCTCTCCCTCTGCCCCTCCCCTGCCCCCACACTCTCTAAAAAAAAAAAAAAACCAGAAAACAAAAAAACAAAACCAAAAAGCAAAACAAAACAAAACAAAAAAACAAGGAACATTTCTCCTATTGTGATAGCCTGAATAAAATCATCTCTAAAAAAAAAAAAAGTTTCCTTTCCCCATTGGACTTTGGGCCCTTTGATTAAAGTCAAATGACCATATAAATATAGGCCTATTTCTAGACTCTTTATTCTGTTCCAGTGATGAACTTGCCACAGTTTTGCTTACTATAGTATTATAGTATTTCTTTAGTCAGGTACCTTAAGTCTTTTTCAAGATTACTTTGGATAGTTTAAGTCCTTTGTATTTCCACACACACAAAAAAAGTTTTTTAAGTCAATTTCTGCTGGTGATGAAAAAAAATATAGTCAATTTCTACAAAAAAAAAATCTACTGGAATAATGATTGGGATTACACCAGATTTTTAGATCAATTTGTAGAGAATGAACTTTTTCTTTTTGCAATATTAAGTCTTCTAATCCATACACATCACATATCTCCCCAACTTATTTAGGGCTTCTTTCATTTCTTTCAGTAATATTTAGTAAGCTTTTACTGTATAGGTATTGAACATAGTTTGTAAAATTTATCCCTGAGAACTTCATATTTTCAAATGCTACCATAAACAAAATTTAAATTTCATTTTTAAATTATTTACTGCGAGTATATTAAAATGCCATAGATTTTAGTATATTGACCATGTATCCTTGCTAGGTATACTTATATGTTCTTGTAGCTATTCTGGCTTTAGGATTTAGGATTTCCTATTAACCAGATCATGCCATCTAAGACTAAAGACATTTGATTTCTTCCTTTTCAATCTGTATGCCTTTTCTCTCTTATTCCCCAGCCCTTGCTTTATTGTACAGCTTGGGACAACCTCTAGTATAAAGTGAATACAAATGGCAAAAGTGGACATCTTGCCATATTACTGATATAGAAGGATGCTTTCAATATTTTGCCATTAAGGATGATATTAGCAATAGATTTTTCATAGAAGGTCTTTACCAGATGAAGAAATTCCCTTCTATTCCTGATTTGCTAAGAGTTTTTCTCATAAATGTGAATTATGTAAGATGCTTTTTTTGCATCTAATAAAATGATCACCTAGCTTTTCTCCTTTATATATGGTGAATTATACTGACTAATTTTCAAATGTTAAACCAACTTTGTACTTCTAGCAAAAACCTTACTTAGTCATATGTATTACTCTTTTTCTTTATACTGGTAGATTCAATTTGCTAATATTCTTTGAAGAAATTTTTGTCTGTGTTCATGAAGATATTAGCCCGTAATTTTCTTCTTTTTTAAAATGTCTCTGGTCAGGTTTTGATGTCATAGTTAATGCTGACATCATAAAA